TTTGGCCGACTGATTGTAGTGTCGAGCTTCACTTGCCAGTGGTAAATTGCTGCGTCGAATACCCCGCTTTCACACGCAGCTGAGTTATATTAACTCTGAATCTCTTGGCAGGAGGGGGTTTATAATTTTACTTTCAAGGCTTGCAACAGGAAAGAGGGATGTTCTGCGAATTCCCCGATTATCAGTGTGACCATTTCCGGAAAACTCAGTGACCTGACGATTGACGATTTCAAGCTGATCACGCCACCGGTAACAAATTTAATATACTGTAGGGCTTAAAATTTTGCAAAATATTCCTGAATAGGAACATTTTTCCTGTTCAGAAAACGGCAAAGTTTTCTCAATTTTCTAGAGTTTATTATGATGGCATTCTGTAATCAAGCTAATTAGTTAAGGTAGCAGACATTACTACTTTTTTGCAGTCAATGAATCTCCCGTGCTTTTTTTTCTTTCCAGATCTTCTGAAAGGGGGAGAAAAGGAGAACAGCATTTTTTTTTAAATAGGAATCGCTCCTGATTTCCACCTTATAAGAGAAAATTGGAAAGCTCTCCGACTTCGGCTATTTAATTTTACAAATAACATTCAGATTGAGGATCTTTTATGATATTTCGAAGGTCTCCTTGAGCAGAGACATCCGATGTAATAGAAGATATTGGATTTTTTCTTCTTTAGCTCTGAAACTGTTTCCACGTCAATTTATTTAGGTAAGGAATGATGGCTGACGATTACTTCTTTGCCATCATCCATTGCGTCGAAACCTATAGCGGTAAGAAAACGAAAATAGGATAAAGACGACGCCAGAAATTCCTTTAAAAAATGTTGATACAGTATTTAAACTGCCCTACTTACTTAAGGAACTGGTAAATAGGGTATGTAAACGCTGTGGAGAGAGCAAAGTGCGCCCGGAGAAATCTCGTAGCTAAATCATCCGTCTTCGATGAAATTGCATTACACATCATGCGTGGGATAATCGCTTCCCAGATTTTTTCAAGGAATCTCGCACCTTCTCACGTTTTCCCAGATGATCCAGAAGGATTTCTTGCTAAACTTCGGGTCTCTGGGAGGAGGCCCGTGTGTGCTCGTGAATTACGGCGACGGCAGTTTGTTCGAAGGAATGGGGGACCAAAAAACTTGCGGCATTAACGCTGACAGCACTTATGCCTTCTTCAACCCGAATGTCACTTTGTCGAACCCTCTGCCGATTTCGCACACTTACACGTGCGTTTCATCTCGAGCTTTTTCCTTGTTTTTCTGTTCGACGCATGTCAGGTAATTGGTTGTGTTCGTCATTCTTCGAACAGCACCGAAGGGGTTTGGAATTTGTCGGTGATGGCTTGGAATGCTCAGTCGAACGTCAGGGCGTCCATAGTCGTCGTCACCGTTAATGTTTCGTGCACCTCACCGGATGCTTACATAGAGAACGCCCTCGCATTGGAATTCAAGCGTTCGATGCAGGCAATGATCGACGGAAAATACAGTTTGAATTGTACGGGATCCGTTGGAGCGAGGTTAGCATTGCATGAATGAGCTGATCTTAATTTCAAATTTTGTTTACTTCTACATTTGACTGTATTTTATATTCTACGAATGAATCAGTAGGATATTCCTGTAGTGGAGTGGGTCTTCAAATTAATCACAAGTATTTAGTCAGTCGGAAGACAGAGTTCAGAAGTTTGGACTGTAGGAACAGTTTAGAGTTGTCTGATACTGATTCCAAGATATTCCCGCTCTAAATGCGATATGGGACGACAAAACTGCGAAACATTACTGTGGTCAGGATGCAAGATAAATTAATTAGTTGCAGATCCTTTGCCAAAAGCCAAAAAATTAAGAATTTCGATCAGAATAATCAATGTATGGAAGCTGGAACGTTATTGGAAAAAATTAAGTTTTGAGAAATGTGGTGCACAGACCAAAATTGAAAATTTTGTCATCACCGAAAATTTACTCCCTCTCGGTATCCTGACCAAGAGAGCAAGTGTGAAAACCCTTCTTTATCTTCAGACAAACCTGAAATATCCCAGAAACCTAGAAAAATTGTGCCTTTCGAACCGACTGTTTTTCAGTACTGTAATTCAAGTAAAGCGCGTATAATCAGGGCAACCTTTGCTTGCACTGTAGATGACGCAGCAACCAGAAAAATTGTAAGGAAATATTCGTTTGCGATTTCTTTCAGTACAATTTTGTCCTTGAAGGTCAATACATTTTATGATTCACTGTTATAGTATGCATTGGGAGATAAAAAAGGCCGCCCTTTATAATAATGAACTCATTTTTACATTCCGTTTCTTGATTTTCTGAAGCGATAATTGGGCCATAATATGAAGTGGCCAATAACGCGTGTTGAAGCATTTCTCTTTGATCATCAGACTTGAGTGGGGTTTGGAGGAAATCAACGAAACAACCGGAGAGTTCATCAAAACTTTTGATTTGAAAACCGATAACCCCAGCTGGGACCGATCGCAGTTGGTGATCCCTGCCTTGTACTTGCCGTACGGATACTACAAACTTCGGTTCACTGTGTTCCTTACCGGTAAATGCAGCCATTCCGGGGATATGAAAATAAATATAAATTCTCCCCGTTTTACAGGAAACGTGGTTTTCGACACGTTCCCCGTTCAGACGTCAGTATATGCGAATTTCCGGGTTACGAAAACTCCACTTATTTGCATCGTATACAACGGCGGCGTGTCGAGGATCTTGAAGGGAAACAAAGATTTTGCTCTTCTTACCCCGGGGTTCTTGTCCGTCGATCCAGATGATCCGACTTCGACCAGCGTAAGCGAGATTCTTTTGCGTGCGGATTTTTTCGAAGGCTCAGCACAATTTCGACTTTAGCAGAAGTTTTGAAGCGTATTTGATTGATCTCTGCTCCAATCTCGATCCCGGCATGGTCAAAACGCGTAATGCGACAGTATACGATCATTTTGGAGATAAGAGTCAGAATATAGAACGAAAATCACCGTTTAATTGCGAAAACATATGAAGGGTGGCCCGAAAAATTTCACCGATATTAGAGGCGAGGTGGTCAACATTATACGGTCGCCACATTGAAAATGTTTCTTCGTAATCTCATGGCTATCGAGTAAAACATTAAACGCCACATATTCTTTAAAATTTTGGGTTCATGTTTATTCAAGTTCACTTCAACGGAGTTTTTTGATTCTAACAATTTATTTTATAGGAACAGTTTATCCAAATGAACATAGCAGAGAAAACAGGAACTACGAGAACACATACCTGCATTCGCGTGCTACAATTTCTATGAGAATTTCAAAGAAACCTTTATTCCATGTAAAATACAAATTATTTCATGAACAGGCATTCTATTGTAAAATTATTTGAAAACTGGCCGAAACCCTCTGAGCCACTCCATTAAAGTATCAAAGTTGACCATATCATTCAACGTGCATGACTTGTTGAATAGCCCTCCGAAATCAGTAAATGACAACTAATTTTGGACATCCGGGATATTGATTTCTGTATGTGATTGCATCAATGCATCGCGACGTTAATATTCTGTTATGAATCTGAAAATCATTAAAGATCACGCTATTTCTGGAGAAAAAGATACAACATATGCATTAACCAAGAATTACGTTTTCGTCATTCAGAAAAGCCTCTTGTCGAAACATTAGATCAACTTTTTATGCAACATTGATCCATCAACCTGTAAATTTTTTTTGACAGGCATGTCCCTCTCACTTCACCCGTGAAGTTTGCTAATAGCGAATTTTTCTGCATCACCCAAAAAATGCACAGCGTTTATTTGAAATGAAAGGGCGAACAAATAATACTGTACATTACCGTACTAAGAATTTCAGAACCCCAATGAATTTCCGAACATTCAGTAATTATTGTTCCATTTTAATATCAGAAGTAATCTTAAATTTCAATGTTCACCCACTCCTTTTTGGATTACATGATGAGGAAATCTCGACGCTGCAGTGCAATTTAAAAATAAGAATACTTGTTTTTATTTTATTTTGCTCTATGTGCAGTTATCCTTTTGTGGTCTAAACCGGATTTGCATGAAACTAGGATTCCAAAATCTCTCTTCTTTAGTTGGAAGTAATCAGTTGAGGCTAGAAATATCTGTATTTATTCTAATATAAGACCCCGTTTATTTTCTTGAAAACTATTCATAATCAAGAAGAGTCTTAAATTCGATCGTGTTTTTGATTCGCATATGAAGTACTCGATTTTCTTTGATAACCACAATCCCTTAAATTTAAATCTAAAATGTGAAAATATGAATTTTTAGTGTAATATCCGTGGCAAAGACGCAAGAATCAGAATACTGCTTTTACACCCGAAGAATGAGTGCAATCATTAGATTTTTCTGATTTATGAAGAATTATGAATGAAGAATTATTTACTGTTGTAAGCCACAGATAAATGAGGTTATAGAGCATGGCGTTTTCGATTCCAGTAGATTCGACATTTTGTCTTGAGTTGGAGAGAATCGACGCCACAAGACAGTTGAGTTACTCGTGGAAAATCGTTCTGAGCACTTCGGGACAGGTTTCCTCGAAATATCAGCCACGACGGATAATCACTAATTCGCGCTGGGCAAAAAAATAATCTTTTCCGCCGCGACGGGAAGGAAATACTTTAGTACTGCATTAGTCTTGGTTGTCAATCTCAGCGAACAAAAATGAAGCAGATATTCTTCCGAACCAGGGAAATCCGGTTTCTTACCAATGGGCCTGTTCGCGATCGGGCGAAGAGAGCGGGCTTCAAGTGCCGGGAGTCCTCAGCATTCCGCCTGTCGGCTACAACCGCACGAATCCTGACAACGGAGGCTGTTTTGGGACCGGGCCAGGTTTGCTCTTCTGAACTCAAACGCAAAAACAGCAAAAAAAAAAGCACGGAGGCAAAGGAGAAAGAACGAAGCGCAACTAACGCTTTCTTAATCGCTCTGGCCGACCTCCGACAGGTACACTCAACATCACGGCAGTGGACTTCAGCGTCGACACCCGGCTGTTTTACAAGGACAACGAGACCTATCGCATCACAGTGAGTATGTCCAAGGACGACAGGTCCACGATTTCCTTCCTCGACATTGAGATCTTGCCGGGCGGATTAGCGCCGTTGGAAGTCGGCGTCAGTTGTCTGCCGGAAACGTCGTGTCTTCCCCCGTCGGCAGATGGGATCCTCATAAATCTGGACGCTGGTCGGTTCCTCGCCAAGGGGATCTGCACAAGAAGTTGCGACGCTTTCACAGTCCTGTCCTATTCGTGGACTGTCACCATTGACAAGGGGAACGATGATTTGGAAGTGCTGCAGGCAAATGACGCAGTCAAATTTCCCTGTGAGTTTTCCACGCATAGACGATTTTTTTTGCGAGCCAGAACTGCTGGCTTTGTTCCATACTGACAGCGTTCTAGTGACGTGTAGAACCCCTTTAATTGGTTATTAAAAAAAAAACCAGAGGGTTTCCGATGCCGAAAGCGCCAGAGTCTCAATTGAATGACACATGAATTGGAGGTTTAACAAAATATTCAAAGCATCAACCACCTTTCATTACGAAAAAATTTAATTTTAGAAGCTATTTTCAGTTCACAAGCAAGCGAAGGCTCTTGTCAGCAAAACATTTTGACATTTTGCATTCTGTATTGCAGAATTCTGTACAGGTTTTCCGAAAGTCCTACATTGTTACCTAAAAGATGACGCCCTGCACTGCAGTGAAGAAATGTCGTATGCTTTTTTTTAAATGTCATAGAAAATAACCAAATAGGTTCGATATGAACCGGGGAAGTTTGCTTCTAGCTTCTTCGGTCCACATTTCTCTAAGGAAATGCATGTCGAAAACTTTCAATTCTAATACAATATCCATACTTCACAACTTCAAAAACTGTCAAATGCTATTTGACGCGGGAAAAATCGCATACAGCATAATTCGAACGTAAGCAAAGTTTTCGTTTCCGAATTCATCCATCCGGGTTCTCTGGTTTTTGATATATTCAGGTTTCGAGCGTGTCTGCGGAATCCTGAAAATTTTTGTGTTTCTTAAATAGATTAATCTAAAGTACAAGAATATTCGTGAACATTATGAGGCCATTGTGATTCAGTGAATGAATCACATTGCATTTTCATTTAAGCTGAAATTTCGTATTCAGCATTCAAAAGTCTTTCAGCACTGCTATTTTGAGATAAGCCCATCTCCTACATCTATTTTTATGTGCTCAAGAACGATTTGAACTGCAGCGTTATTCCTATGACGAAGCGTTTCTATTTCGAGCTGAATGACGCAGTCAAATTTCCCTGTGAGTTTTCCACGCATAGACGATTTTTTTTGCGAGCCAGAACTGCTGGCTTTGTTCCATACTGACAGCGTTCTAGTGACGTGTAGAACCCCTTTAATTGGTTATTAAAAAAAACAGAGGGTTTCCGATGCCGAAAGCGCCAAAGAGTCTCAATTGAATGACACATGAATTGGAGGTTTAAAAAAATATTCAAAGCATCAACCACCTTTCATTACAAGAAAATTTAATTTTAGAAGCTTTTTTCAGTTCACAAGCAAGCGAAGGCTCTTGTCAGCAAAACATTTTGACATTTTGCATTCTGTATTGCAGAATACTGCACAGGTTTTTCGAAAGTCCTACATTGTTACCTAAAAGATGACGCCCTGCACTGCAGTAAAGAAATGTCGTATGCTTTTTTTAAAATGTCATAGAAAATAACCAAATAGGTTCGATATGAACCGGGGAAGTTTGCTTCTAGCTTCTTCGGTCCACATTTCTCTAAGGAAATGCATGTCGAAAACTTTCAATTCTAATAAAATATCCATACTTCACAACTTCAAAAACTGTCAAATGCTATTTGACACGGGAAAAATCGCATACAGCATAATTCGAACGTAAGCAAAGTTTTCGTTTCCGAAATTATCCATCCGGGTTCTCTGGTTTTTGATATATTCAGGTTTCGAGCGTGTCTGCGGAATCCTGAAAATTTTTGTGTTTCTGAAATAGATTAATCTAAAGTACAAGAATATTCGTGAACATTATGAGGCCATTGTGATTCTGTATAATGAATCACATTGCATTTTCATTTAAGCTGAAATTTCGTATTAAGCATTCAAAAGTCTTTCAGCACTGCTATTTTGAGATAAGCCCATCTCCTACATCTATTTTTATGTGCTCAAGAACGATTTGAACTGCAGCGTTATTCCTATGACGAAGCGTTTTTATTTCGAGCTGAAGCATTCAAAAGTCTTTCAGCACTGCTATTTTGAGATAAGCCCATCTCCTACATCTATTTTTATGTGCTCAAGAACGATTTGAACTGCAGCGTTATTCCTATGACGAAGCGTTTCTATTTCGAGCTGAAGCTGTGGGAAAATCGTCGGAACTTATTTAAAACCTAATTCCACAATCGGAATTTCCTCACTGAAAATGCGCAGAAGTGTCCTCGAATATTCAAATAAATTCAAATTTCCCAGATGGCACTCAAAACGAGGACCTACTGCTGGCGCCAGAATTTTTCAAGTACCTCTACGTCGCCAGTCCCATTTTGTGGAAATTTCGCCTCCGTCTAACACTCACCGACACCGCCACGAACAATTACGGTTCGTCCGGCGGATTTCGACGCTTCAACATCACGGAATGTAAAACATTTTGTTCTCGCAGGATTTTCTGAATTCTACTTGGCGGTTAACCGTCCTCCGTCCCCGGGAACGTGCTCATGTCAAGCCTCGTATTTCCCGTTCATCTGCATCCGAACCGTTTTGACGTGTACTTGCACCGGTTGGACGGACCCGGAAGCCATAGGAATACGCTCTTACCAATTTATAGGTGAATAATATTTACGAACTATTAAATTAAATAGTTTTACTATGCACATTGAGTCAATTGACCTTTATGATATAAATATTTTCCTTCATGACACCCCGGAATATCTCCGACCTCGAGTATATTCTCCCAACAATGCATCGTACGACATAGTTACGCGATATTAAAAAGATTCACGTATCAGATACCAATTTATAATCGTGTGCCACTATAGTTGCATGTCGTGTAATCGGTAAATCCAGTCAACAGAAGAAAGCGGTTCTAAAAGCTTACTGTACTTGAGAAAATCAATAAAAAATTTGTGGAAACGATGCAGCAATTTTTACGAAATCAGAGGTACCTCTAATAACTTAAAATATGAAGAAAATGAATAACTATCTTCTTTGACCTAGGATTTCTGCTTGCGAACCTAATCATCAGAAAAAGTGTAATAAATCATTTTCTGTACTGTACGTATACTGCACATTTGATTTCAAATTGGACTTTAAAGACGACGGATCACAGTTGAATCTCCACTATCATATGTAAGAATGTAACACAAGATCTTCCAAGTATTCAGGGGCCATAAATATTCAAAAAGGTTAAACCATTTATTCTCCAAAAAACGTGTCATGTTAGTAACCAATATAAGGACTACCACAAGTAGAGCCTTGAAGATTATTATGATTTCAGACTCCTTTATATATTTTTAAAAAATTAAAAATCGAAAAACGTTGGATTCTAAAGGCTGGAGCTGATTAGTCCAGTCAACACCATCTGCTGTTACGATGTCCATGAACAAACCTCGGTTACACGATCCACGTGATTCCTGTCATCCAAACGCCAATAATTTATGGTTTTCTGAATTAAAATAATTATGGCATATATACCAATGCGATAACTGAACAAATTTGTGCAGTCATCAACCTGAATCAATGTGAATTGTGCCAAAATTATACCTCTCGGTTTCCCCCAGGAAAGAAAATATGGCGCATATAGCCACGAAAAGTTCNATTTGTGGAAACGATGCAGCAATTTTTACGAAATCAGAGGTACCTCTAATAACTTAAAATATGAAGAAAATGAATAACTATCTTCTTTGACCTAGGATTTCTGCTTGCGAACCTAATCATCAGAAAAGGTGTAATAAAGCATTTTCTGTACTGTATGTATACTGCACATTTAATTTCAAATTGGACTTTAAAGACGACGGATCACAGTTGAATCTCCACTATCATATGTAAGAATGTAACACAAGATCTTCCAAGTATTCAGGGGCAATAAATATTCAAAAAGGTTAAACCATTTATTCTCCAAAAAACGTGTCATGTTAGTAATCAATATAAGGACTACCACAAGTAGAGCCTTGAAGATTATTATGATTTCAGACTCCTTTATATATTTAAAAAAAATTAAAAATCGAAAAACGTTGGATTCTAAAGGCTGGAGCTGATTAGTCCAGTCAACACCATCTGCTGTTACGATGTCCATGAACAAACCTCGGTTACACGATCCACGTGATTCCTGTCATCCAAACGCCAATAATTTATGGTTTTCTGAATTAAAATAATTATGGCATATATACCAATGTGATAACTGATCAAATTTGTGCAGTCATCAACCTGAATCAATGTGAATTGTGCCAAAATTATACCTCTCGGTTTCCCCCAGGAAAGAAAATATGGCGCATATAGCCACGAAAAGTTCAATTATGCGACCTGAGGTTCTGAAGCTCTCCTCTTTAGTGCATATAATAGGAAGTGCAACTTACTTGAAACTTTTTCCGCCACTGCAGGCACTATAATTGGACTTTCTAACCGGCTTCATCATAGTTGATCAGCCGGAATAACTTCCGGAAAATGTTTCCTTCAGGTATAGAAGTTGGTCGATTGGTTCGCTGTTTTCCTTTTTTGGTGCTTCATACAAAACTGATGAAGATATTGTTGCAGCCAGGCGAACGGATATAACGGACCGACTCGTGCAAGTGATCCTCGATCCAACGGCTCGACCGGAAACTCAATTCCTTCCGTCTCCGGGCTCGTATAATTTCACCTGTACTATAATTGACTCGAGCGGAGGACTTATCACAGTTCCTGTTCCTGTCGTGTATTCCACGACTAACCCAACAACTGGGGCTAAAACAACGCAGACCGCCAGTGTTTTTGATGTGAGTACACTATAGGACTTCGTCAATGTGGGTTATATTTCGAACATAATACAGTAATCAGGTTATAATCGGATCTAGAATTGCAAGTCAGCTAGAGCAGTGTTCCCCAACCTTAATTGCTCGTGGACAGGCAACTTTTTATAAAATCTTTCGCGGACCAGCAAATTTTCATAAAATTTTCTGCGGACTGGCAAAGTTCCATACACTTTTGAAAGCCAGAAATTTTTTTAAATACCTGCTATAAAGTCCTCAAAACAAAACTCGCATTGCAAAAATTAAGTAAAGAACCATTAAGCAACTATATACTGTACTGGAATTTCGTTGAAAAAATAGAAAGCTGGCCTTCAAGAAAGGCTTCTCAGATTTAAAACTGAAAGTATTTCATTTCATACAGGTGAAGATATGTCTGATGATGAAGCGTATAGTGTTATAATGCACACTGTTATTTTTTCTCAGATAATTTCAACTGCCATTTTTTCCAAAATTTCGGATAATTAACAATAATAGGCGTCAATACTACCTTCTATAAATGTATTATGCTGATGAAGAAATTTTCCCGCGGACCGTCAAAAAACTTCAGCGGACCGGCGCCGGTCCGCGGACCACGGGTTGGGGAACACTGAGCTAGGGCAAATTCATCCACAGCACTCAAATCGATTTGTGCTTCTGATATATTCCTGAAAAAAGCTTTTCGTAACGAAATTAGTATCGGAAGCCGAACACAACTCAAAATTAGCGGTTATTAAATATTATTACAGTAATTATTTCCATAATTCACAATAACATTTTTTTTCAAACTAACATTATTTATACCCAAGAAATGCAGTTTATAACTCATCATTTTTTCTGACGAAACAGTTAATTAGTGTAATTGAGAAAATTTTGCTCCTTCAGATGGAGTGCTTATTGGTATAATACTGCATCAAAAATCGGGTCATAATCTCTTCCATATTCAATTTTTTGTTCATCACATAAAGGTGCATGCAGAAGAATGGTCCTGATTTCCCTGCATGTTTTGTATTCGGGACAATACCGACAGCTTTTAATGAGAAAAGCTCTTCTTTCTTCTATAGAAAGAAAACCATTCAAACCTGAGGTCCTCCACTTGAGATGGAACAGACGCTTTCAATTAAGAATCCACGAAAGAAACGTCTGCGTCTGCTATCTATTTTTCTGTCATAGCTCTTTAAATGAGTTTATCTACCAAAAATTGAATGCCCCTCGAGCTCGAGTAGATCCAGAGTTTAGAACAGAGATGCGGGATATATGAACACATTTTTCTTACGTAGATCGTTGCTCCAACCGCTGCAGAACTACAGGACATGGAAAAGGAAGGACTTCTGGATTCTCTGGTCAGCTCAAACCCATCACTTTCAGATATGGTGTTGTCTGTGAAGCTTTCCATGCTTCAGAGCAGCATCACTCTGACTGAAATCAGCGGAACGAGTGCTTCAAGCACGGGCAGCAGCGAACTCACGTCGGCAATTGATTCCATGTCATCGGTAGGCCATCCGTTTTCATGAGATGAATCGACTTTAAATACTTTATGTCGCGAACATTCTAGACTTTGGCGACAGCAGGAGAATCTTTGCTCACTGTAAACATGGCCTCTCCGCAACAAATGACTTCAGCTGCGATGCAGGTTTCAGGGCTCTTCTCTGCTGTTCCTGCAGGCAGTCCCGCGGTGGCAGCCATCAGTCCGTCGCTTCTTTTGGCAGCCAGCGCCATCTTTGAGGTTTGCAAATGTCAAAATATTCACACACAAAATCATTTCAGACGCGCCGGGTAAACTTCCCAAAACGCAACGCAGTCCTGCGCGGGATGGTTGAAGTTTTGAAAAGTCACTTTTTTATCCTGAGCGAAAAGTCTCATTGTCTCGTTTTAGAACATCGGGAACTCTCTGGAATCAGGAACTGCAACTTTTAGCAAACAGACTTTGACCAGTTTCTTAACGGCTGCTATGACGACCATGGATGTTACTGCGGTAAAAAGACCCATTTTCATGCCGTTCTTCATAATTTATTACCTGCGAATTATTGCATGTTGAAAGGGTGTGTCGTCTAGTGTCGGAGGGTGTGACCAGAACCCTCCAAATCCAGACCTCAGCCAGTGCCCTAAATCGCAGATCGGCAGTGTGCAAATCGACGAAGCATTCCCTCCACCAAGTATTCACATCCAAAACTAAAAATATGGAATCACCGGATAAAATATCGAACATTCATTCGCAGTCAACACGGTCGTGTCACCGAACCGAACAATTCAAGAATGCTGCGCTGTACTCAGCCAAAAAAACCAGGGACTCGGTTCAGCTGCCACTTCGATGCAGAGAACGACTGGTTTAATTACAGCCGCTTTAACAAACACGATTGCTGTGGGCGAAAAAGTCAACCTGAGTCCAGTCCCGGGAACCACCATTCAAGTGATGAAGTATGAGAAAATAAGCTAGGCACTGTTCTTGTATTTCTCAGCTGATGAGCATGTGACACAAACATTTTTCAGAGAATCTCCTGCAAATCTTCCGGGAAAACCTGTTGAAATCCAAGGGTCATCATTTAAAATGCCTGAATCCATGGACTTAGGCGCGCTGACTGGCGGACGACCTGTCGGACTGGCAGCAGTTGTAATGGATAAAAACCCACTGGTAATTACAAATATTTTAAGTACTGTCCTAAGACGCAGCATGTTGAATGCGAAAATTTCTCCCAAAGGTCGGAGAAAATACCGCATCTGACAAGATGTCACCTGGCTCTGGGGTTGTATCCTTCGATTTGTCGGATGAAACGGGAAAACCGATCAAAATTGAAAATGTGGAACCGGGCATTGAAATCATGTCTCCTCTTCCAAGATCAGCAGAGAAGCAACAGCAGCTTGACGGTTTGTCGTACCAAGCTTGAATCGATATTGGCCTTAGTCATTGAATAAGCATATATGCTGATTCAAGATCCCCTTTCCGGAAAAGTCGAAAAAATTATCCCTCAAATCTTCCCTACATGATTTTGGAAAAGGATATTTTTCGTCCACTTGGACTGAGAATATTAGTTCAGTGTCAAACATTCGTTTCCACTGAACCACTTTGGAAATCTGAAAAACCCTTTAAAAATGGAATAAATTTTCTAATCAGAAAGTATGGGTTCAACTGTTCTTTAAAAAATGAATATAATACTTCCATTGTCAGAAACCACTGCTATTTTTTAAAGGGAAAATGATTAATGTAAGACGTTTTTCCGGGATAAGCTGATTATATGAAATAATTCTTTTTGCGAACCAGCATCGACGAAAGTTAGATCCAAGTACTGCTGGTCTTCGTATGAGAATATCCACAAACTTTAGAACGACATATTCCCGGCAGAAATCGTCAGTAATTTCTTTTATCTTCGCTCCCGTGGAAATGATTTTTTCTTCTTGTTCATACAAAAACGCAATGAGTTGCTTTCCTTGCTTTGATTAAGTAGAAGCTCTACGGTGCGTCAACGCTACCACAGCCGGAGTGTCCAATAAAACCGAGAGGGTTCTGTACTCCACGATCTTACCTTCGCCGAGTTCAGATTTTTCCTTTGTGGAAATTCGCATGGAGGATTTCTCTGAGCCCCCACCCGGACTGCACTACATTATTGGCAGAACGATGAAACCCAGCTTGATCAAGGGTTACTTCGAACCCGGAAACGTGGCCCGTATTGCAGACTTGCAACGCATGGATGGTCTGTTATCCATAAGTTTTAAGCATAGAATCGCTGAATGATGATGAACGCTTCATTCGATAGAGTTCTACGTAAATGTGTTGACGTGGCCGAACGGAACTGGGCCTATTCACGTCGGATTGTTTGAGCTAAAAGATGGACTAGTTCTCGAAGAAGTGATCAAGCAATCGAATTGGGATAACTTGCCGTCATTCTTCAAGTATGTTTCAAAAAGTTCAGCGTGATTGCACTATCAAAAATAAAAACCTTTCGGAAAGTTTTAAAGAACATATACTGTGTAGTAAAATGTATGCCAGACCAAGATGGTATGAGTAAATTAAAAACAACCCTGGCTTAATTGGAATAGCTAGCGCAAGTGTTTGTCGCCTAACTATGAAGGGATATTTTTTTCTCTCATGAGGCTCGTCGTGCCTGATGCCTCGAAAGCGATAGGAAATCAGTGAAATCAAGCACTGGAAAATAATAATTCTCTATCAAACTGTGTGTGATGATGGGGAACTTCGTGTTACCCGCGAGGAAACATATTTTTACCTTTTATCTACTGTATAAATGTAACACTGAATCTCACCGAGCTTTGCTCTGAAATGCCAATTACTTAATTTTTACTTTCCCGAAAGAACCCAACACTTGTTATTCGAAATCTACGCGAGTATTCTCTCATTTATTCACGCTTTTCCATCTAATTATTTATATGAGACTGATTTCATACTTGAATGACCATAAATCTCCGAAATATGCATGTTATTTCTGAGTTTAGGAGCATGTGATTAATTACCACTGATTTTACACACTAATTAACGCAAGAAGTTAATAGCTGCAATTGTTTCCCAGAGCAAATTTTTCGAAGAACTACTGTGTTCGGGTCACCGACGGAGGTGTCAATTACTTCAACGGAACCGGTTGGAACAACCGCGGAATAAAAGTATGTCAAAATCTCAACTCATTCCATGATGTATATCCTTTATTTAACCGATTTCCGTCTTTCTAAGGTGAAGGCAATAACTCCGACTGGCATTGTTTTTACAACGAGCCATTTGAGTACCTTCGGGTCGGGCTTCTTCGTCCAACCGAATGCCATCGATTTCAGCTCAGTCTTCGCGAAAGCCGGTTTTGACGATAATCTGACAATCTACTTGACGCTCATTTTTACATTCATCATCTATATAGTGCTGCTGGTTTGGGCGCGGATCAATGACAGACGAGATGTTCAGCAAGTAACGTTAATGGATTTTTCATCTCAATTTTGGCAGCTAATTGGATTATTTATTTTTAGCTCGGAGCGTTGCCATTATCGGATAATAAGCCGGGCCAAAAGTACTTTTATGAAATGCTCGTCGTCACTGGCGACCAAAACAGCGCCGCAACGAACTCCTCGGTTTCCGTATGTTAAAAAAAATCCGAGGATATTTTAATTGACGCATCGAAGTCTAAAATTGTAAATCATCTGCATAGTTTATCATCAGCGGTGACGGAGATGAAACTGACATCAGAACTTTTGGTAGACCAGACAAAGGACCACGGAAGTTTTTCAGACGCGGGGCAACGGATGCGTTCGTCCTTGCTGTGGACAGGTGCTGAAATAAAAACGAAAATATTTCATAAATATGTAAAATGTACTTCTAAAATTTTTCGAAGGCCGCTCGGAGATCTTCAGTTCATAAGAATTTGGCATGACTGCTCTGGAATCGGAACATTCTGCTCATGGTTCTGCAACAGTATCTCAATCCGCGATGTTCAAACGGGAAAACGATTCGACTTCATCGTCAACAACTGGCTGTCGCCCACGGATCGGGATGGGGAGGTAAAAGAAAATGCATAACACTTTATGATTCTAATGTGAAATCTCATTACAACACATTTTTCTCCATAACAAGCTTGTTCTAAAATGCTGGCAGAAAGCCAATAGAGTACGTGGAAAAGCAATCTTGTTATAACAAACTTCCCAATTGCAGGGAAACAAATTTGTCTGAGGAAATTTTTCATAGATCCATCTCCAGGTATAAATTTTCTGACTAAGGCCGGCACAGTCCGCAATGTTCAATTCCAAATTTGACTGACTGGTTCTTGTAGCATGGATTGAAGCTGTAATCAATGATAATCATGTTTCCAATTGGATCTACATATCATCCTCTCAGAATAAAGAAGACTAAGAGATTAGTGAAATGAGAAAGCATGCTTGAAGCTAATTTTTTCCCCAGAAGAACACTCAGCTTTCCAAACAATAATAAAAAATCCAAGAATGCCAAAAAGCAAGGTCTGGATAATTGTAGGCTGGCGTGACTTTATTTTACAGTTATAAATTTTGAAAATCTTGTTGTAAGAAAATATTCAGTACAATATAACACAGCTGTTCTCAAGTCCCCAGAAATGTATTTTAACAAAGTTTTACTGTAGTCTTCCGTTGTGAATGCAAGCTTCCTGAACTCTTGAACATTCCCTGGGATTCGTTTATTTGTTTCAGGTCGACCGCTTGATTTCCATTGCCGGTGATGAGGATCGAAAGCAATTCGGTTACCTTTTCGATACTCAAAAGACAAGAAATTTGCGTGACAATCATTTGTGGTTCAGTGTCTTCACCCGACCTCCTCGCAGCCGTTATACCCGGGTTCAGAGAGTCTCTACTTGCATGGCACTGCTTTATCTCTCCATGCTCGCAAATGCTATGTGGTAAGTCTAAGTCCCCTGAAAAACGAAAAGCGGTACCGCTGCGCAGTAAATAAACTTAATTTATTCCAATGGAAAGTCCATTATCCCAAAATTAGGTTAACCGAGTTACGTATAAAGCTTTTTGTCTGCTTAATTATTGCTTCCAGACCCGATGAAGTCCTTTAGGCCTTGACTGATTAATGTCAAGCGACTCTTCGGACTTTTGGAAATAGCTAATCCGTCCCAGATCCCTGAAAAATCGCTCAAAAGTTCCTGTATGAATTACTGAATAAACCGTGTTCGACGTGCGTGAAAAAAATTGAATTACACTCAAAAAACAAAGGGAAATGCACAACGGAGCATTTTTTTCCACGCGAACTATGCTCCGTAACTGGTTGCCGAAATTGTCGAAGGGTCTTGAAAAACTATCTGGAAAACTTATAAGTTGTTAGCTTTAATCGAGATGCATTGTCTTTTAGAATTTGAAGCACTGTCTTCAATTTAAAACATAAATTTCTGGGTGAATAAGTTTCTTGTGCAAAAATTCCATCATGCGAGGCAACCAACCTCATAGCGGTCATATAATGCACACTAAGATAGGAAAAAAAGTGTGAAGGAATAAAGCTACAGAAAAGCCTGGGTGATAAAACATATAATTAATTTATTCGACAGATTCGAAAAAATCAACCTTGCCGCGGTACATCTCGGTAATGCATGACGCATGTGCTGTTCAGCTGAGACTGCCCTAATTTCAAAAGTTCATTAGTCTGAATAATCAGAGGAGAAGAAATTTACTTCTAGCATAATGCATTGACTTTTAAGAGTTGATTTTTCCCTCTCGAAGAATGGGACTTTAGTCAGAGTTCATCGACGCTTGAATAATCAAAGTTTAATCGCACAATAAAGCTAATTGAACAATTATCACCTTCGCACATATTGTATAGTGTTTGATTTTATGTTTTTCCCAGAACATTGTTTCTTTTATGTCCCAAACAATTTGATGTGCTTTTTTGGACGAGACCCTGCAAAAACGTGGAGAAAATCGTCGTCTATATAGCGTGAAAATTAAATTTCCTCTATTAAAAAGCCACTGATTTATAATGTTCCATGAAATGCAAAGCTAAATCAAGAGCGATGTCATTGAAGGTATGGCACTGTACCGGATCAGCCAGGATCGGGAGGTGTCAAGTTTGGACCCTTTTCTATCAGCCAAGAACAGGTTATTTACAAAATTCTTTTCATTTGGCGTGCAATGAAAAATAATTCATTTTTTCTTGATTTTGAATAAATTTCTCAGATCGGTGTGGGGATGATGTCAAACTTGGTGGTTCTACCGCCGAGTCTCCTCATCGTATTCCTGTTTCGGAAGGCTCGTCCCAGAAAACTCAGGAAATCTCGAATTGACCAAGCTCTACAAAACCAAGGTAAGTTTTCCATATGAAAAAAACAAACTGATAATTTAATTCAGCGATCACATTTTTTATTCGATTGATACTTTTTTCAGGGGGCGTCTCTGGAAAAGCAGGCAATGGAGTGTTACCGAAGTAATAAACCTCACTGTGCACAGTTTTTCAACAGCTGTTCACTGGATCTCATCATTCGTATCTTTGCTGCTTTCTAGGAAGAAACGATTTACCTTGCCGTGGTGGTGCAGCATTGTGGCCTGGATTCTTTGCCTGGCCTGTATTGCTGTCTCGATTTTCTTCATCTGGGCATATGGAATTACATTCGGGAACGAAAAATGCACCAAATGGGTCACAGCACTGATGATTGGGTTCTTCTCGTCAATCCTCTTCGTTCAGCCTTTGAAGGTAATGTGCTTTTTGTACATAAAATCCAGCTTTTTTTATGCATTTTCTTTAAAAACTGTGCTTGGCTAGAGCCACGAAAAGTGCCGTGGTGAATTAAACGTAAGAAACAGGAAATGTCTGAGGGGTGGAGTGTGCCAAGAGAAGAATGCCACAGGGAAAAGATAACGGGGAAGCAAAGGGCACAAGAAAAAATGAGTTCAGATAAAATATGACAGAGAGGAAATTACGTCGAAGGAATTATTATCTTAAAGGGGAAATTAGTGAATGAAAATACAGTATCGAGCACGAATATGCCACTATGGTTAATAACAAATTCTAGGAAAAAAAATCAAAATTTGGAGCATATATATATGTGTAAAAAAGTGGAAGCCGCCGAGAAAATCTTCTTTTAATATTTTCTTTTGCGAACGTTGACATCAGATCAGGATGTGAAAGAAATTGAATCTTGCACTAATAATTCGTATCTCTACAACAAATTTTCCCAGAGGCATTTTGTGCCTCAGAATGTTCTCCATCTTGGCATTTTTAAAATGTTCTTCCCCGTCATTTCCTCCTGACACCATCTGAATATTTTGACATCTTAAACAGCTAATGCCCAGTAGAAAATGGATTTTACTCTTGAAAAGCAAATACCATTTTTTAATAAATTTGCTTCATGGCTACTGATATGGAAGTTACCGACTGCGATGTCAGTAAACCCGTTTTGTAATTCGATGCACATTAATTCGTGATTCTGTTTGCTTTCGAAAAGGTCATGGTTCTAGCAATGATATTCAGCGCGATTTGCAAAACCGAGCCAGATGACGACGACGCTGATGAAGACGAGGAGGATCCGACCGTTCATTGGGACGAAACCCTTTTATCAGGTTCTATTTCCTTCACGAGACTGAATGAATAGGCAGAGGGAAGAAAAGGTGCATTTCATCAACAGATACCGGGCCATTGAAAAAGAAGACTTTGGGAGGCCCAGCAGCCGGTATTGACGCGGCGAGGTTGGCTGCAACGCGAGAAAAGAGACAGAAAGAGCAACAAGTGTGGGCCGCCATGAAGGATATCTTGTTCTACTCACTGTATATATGGATTTTGATCGCAATCTCCTACAATAACAGGGATCCAAACGCAGGCTTACTGAAGATAAACTTTGAGAATACTTTCATCAATCCAATTCGGCTGAATGCATCGGATCGTTTCTCGAAAGTATGATCCCCGTCGTTTCGAGGAGTTTTCGTGTTTGCAAAGCGTGGTCGGTATCTTTGCTTTGAAGGTCCAGAACATGGGTGCGTTTTGGAAATGGGTCGAGGAGGTCCTTGTTTCTTCGATGAGAGCCCCGGTTTGGTACAACGGTGATCGACCCTTCGGACTTCAAGGGTTCTTGAGCGATTACTCAAATAGGATGCTTGGCTTCGGCATTATGCGCCAAATTCGAATCAAGCCAGATTCTTGCACGTGAGTGTTTCGATGAAAAAAACGCATAAGCTTTGTCTTCACAAAATCCCTATTGTTAATTTCTTTCTGCGAGTTATTTAAGAAAAAACGCCTACAAATTTATTATTTTATTGCATGGAAACGAAGATCTGAAGAAATAAGACGACAAACAAAGAGAGAAGGGAAGACGCTTTTGAATTTGGAATTGCTGGAAGTTTCTCAAACATTCATTTTCTCGTTATTCGAATGATAGCTAAACACTAATATATTTATGCGATTCATTATTCTGAAACGATTTAGAATTATAAAAAACAACCTCGAAAAGTCTGCTATTGAAATTATTGATCCCCTGAGAGAGGGTGATGACGTTCATATATTACAAGAATGGTATATGAGAAATGTTTGCTGGCATGTAGAGTAAGACGATATTAGCCAGTAACAACATGGATGTCAGATGACGGGGAAAAAATGGAATGAAATTACTACTACGAGAATCTCGTGGCAACAAACTTGTGGGGACTTCAGACAGTTTGTCAAACCGAATAATTTGTTAGAACATGATTTTCGAAATTATTGACTGATTGGAAGATTTTCTTTAAATTAGACCTGCAAATATTCATCATCTTCCTTTTGCGGCCTTTTCAGATGTATTTCAGCATTTCAAAAACGGTGATCTTCAAAAAGAAATGTATACGTTAATAAGAAACATTCACTCTGAATAACAGGTAAACATCAGCACTTTTTGTTGACTTCAAGTTTCTCTAAGCAATTCCTGCACAGATTTGTAAGGTTGGATGCTCCAAAAAAGCTTACAATTTTTAAGCATCAGTAGGGTTTCTCAAGCATACAAACCAATTTTAACATAAGTTTTGTTGGGTTCATTTTCTTCATCTACCCCCCCCCCCCTACCATCTCTCCTAATCCAGAAACAATTTTTGAAAGTGTGGATCTTCAGGTGAATTTTGAAGAATTTCTGTCTCTGATTCCACCTTATGTCCCAAAAACCAGTCACTGCCACAATTTGAATGGGAAATGTGAGACTGTGCCTGCCCTCATTGGGTATTTTTCATTAGGAAATCACAGCATGTTCTTCAAAAAAGTTTGTTATACTGGAATACAAGTGTTTGTTGAAACAAGATTTTTATAACATTCACCCTGTAGGATTTCTGCTGGGACTTGGAAACAAGTTTGTTGTATTGAACAATTTGTTGTAACGATATTTTACTGTAATATTCTGGAGCAAGTACAGTACATGTACATGTATTTGAAAACTTTTAAGGAAGATATGGACGTGCTTCTTAGGATCGATCGCGTCATATATTCGCGTAAATATATTCAGCTAACTTCATCATCTCTCTCTCAGAGTTCCTGTGATGATGCGGAAGTCAAACTTCACTGGCTGTTCGAATTTAATGAACTTGATCCATGAAGATAAGCTGAGTTACTGCACAGAATGGAGAAAAGCATCACCTGCAGTATCGGAGAGCGACTGCGACTGGTCGGAATTCAAGTGAGTTCATTTTCATGTTCGCGGTTGCTTGTGTTCTCACTCTCGTTTGCGTGGGACTTTTTCTTCGACAGGTACTCGAAAGGGAGCAAGTACAAAAGCTTGCCACACATCGGCCGGATTGACACGTATTCTGGAGGCGGCTACACGTTCGTATTCCAAGGCCGAGAGAGTGAAATCCGTAGTCGGCTCATCAAGCTGCGGGATAATCAATGGCTCAACTCGCGGACCAGAGCTGTGATCATCGAATTCGCAACGTATAACGCTCAGGTGCGATCTAAAAAATAAATTTTCCCTCGCTAAAATGCTTAATCATGCATAATGTGACACGCGTTGGTTTTTATAATGAGATTTTTTATTCTTACCGGAAATTAGCAGTTTATATAGACTTCGGTGAATCCGTCATCGCACGTCAACGACCCAAAATGCAGGAAATCTCATTGCGTTTGGAACAATTTTAGCTCAATTTTCTCGATTTAAATAACCTTTGGAACGATGATTATATTTTTTTTGAATTTATGAAATGCCCAGTATTGTCTCAACGATTAAGCATTTCAAGCATTCACTGTATTATTGGTAAATTCGTCGTTATTTACAATAGCGATGCAAGTATCTTAATAGAATGAAACATAATTGGCTTCAGCATGGTAGCTCGCAGCCGGTCTGTATACATTGACGGATTTGCCATAATTTCGAATTCGTTTTATGAAACTTTTTCAATGTAATGTACAGAAATTAAATGAAAATCGGAAAGCAAATCAAAGCACTATGCATCATTCTACCCAAAATCCAATCCGAAAAATCTACAGCTTTCTGCGGAAATGATGAATTTGCATGTATGATTAAAAAAACTATGGAATCTGCAAATTGATTTTCCTCAAGAATGCAGGGCGTGCATGTAAGCGGTTTCTAAAACCCTCTGTCAGTCTCAACGTACAAAAATTCAGGAATTGCAGTTGAAAGTAATCTTATTTTAAGTATACAGAAGCTGTCTTTCAACGAGAAAGAAACTAAATTCCTGAGTACCCTCGTTTTCTGGCGCTCACACTGCATTTCTCAAGTGTGAACAGTTTTATTTCCATTAATAAATTCTGATAAAGGTTCGGGTGATAAATCTAGGTTCCAGAGTACACCATTGTAAAAAAATTTAAAATAAGTACGCTGCATTCGCTCAAGGCAGCAAAGATATTTCTTTTGTTACCAATGCCAAGATTTAGTGCTTCGAACTAACCAGGAAATACCTCAAGAAAATGCAATTTCCATGCGCAAAAGAGAAACTAGAACCCCCAAGTACTGTAACCGCACCACTCAAAACAATGGCATAGTTGTACTTCTCTAATTGATTTGTTTTTTTTATTATCCTACGCACAGGTTAACCTCTTCACAGTTGCAAAAATCATTATCGAAGCCATTCCAGGCGGCGGATTGTTCCCTGATTGGCGATTCGACGGCATCCGGCTAATGAGACACTTCGAAGGTTTTGGCATGGTTGCCCTTGTCTGCGAAGTGGCCTTTGCCGTTTTCACGCTGTACTTCACCGTCGTGGCCTTCAAGGCCATGTGCAAGAACCGGAAAGCTTTTTTCAGCGTAAGCGTTCAACCGTTGTTTCCGCCGTTTTTATACCAGCACGGTCGTTCGTATCGATCGAAGCATTATTTCAGGAAATTAGTTACGATGCGATACGCTTGCTCCAGTTCATTTGGATTTGATAGCAGTCGGGGAGGTTTCTCAAAAGTTCTACGAGCCACTCAGAGATGATAATTACTCTTGGAAGAAGCATCCCTTTTAATGAGCAAAATCACTGCTGCTTCACAAAAAAGCTCATCCCATGTCCCACAGAGAATAAAAGCGACACATGAATCCCTTTGTGCACCCCAGGAAGATTTTTTTTAGGGACAGGGCGTTTATTTTTTAAAATGAATTCGTGGAGGTTCTTACTCACCTCGATTTAGGAAAATATATTCAAGAATAAAATCCTGCGATCGGTGAATTTGAAAATTGTTGGCCAGAAATTGTCTTCTTAGTGAACGATAGTGAGCATTTTGGATGAAAAATAAAATACTGTAATCCTGAAAGCAGCTGCTGATGCGTACAGCTGAGAAATCACAACATAGCGGTTGCCGGAAACTCTTGGCAGAATTCCAGTCGAACTAGGAGGACCGTTTAAAAAATGTAAACGTTTTTTAAAATTTTCTTCCTGATGCTTTACAGCTATAGAAGTCAAAATATAATTTTTGATTTTATAAAAGCTTCGAATTTGTTTGCATTATACATTTCTGGAATGGAATTGAGAAAAAATAATTCTCTGGTTTCATCTACTCAATCAGCCGTTGGTTACTCACAGTAAAGTGAACTTTTGAAATCATTACACTATTCAGCAGCACAGGTACTGTATTTGATCGTGAAAATTTCTTTGTGCATAGATTCTACCGGCGACTACAGTTTACAAATGAAATGTCGTGTAAAACTACAAGTTTCATCATAATCCTATTATTTCAGAGCTACTGGAGCTATCTGGAACTTGCGCAACTTGCCATGTCATACACGGCAATCGTGCTGTACATCGTGAGACATCTGCAGACGAATGAAATTCTTGAGCAGTTCTCGGAAACTTTGGGAAACGCATACATTCCAATGCAACACGTAGCATCAGTCGACGAGCTGTTCGGATATTTCATCGCGTTCTTGCTATTCGCAGCTATGATATCATTATTGAAGCTGCTGAAATTCAACAAAAGCATCGGAATGTTATCAGCGACAATGCGGCATTGCTTCGACGACCTAATGGGATTCGGAACCGTGTTCCTCATTTTCCTGGCGGCCTTCGTCATTTTGTTCCATCTGTTTTTGTCCCAGCACATTTATGAGTGGCATACCATAGTTTCCAGCTTTGAAACTGCGTTCTCCATCATGTTGGGAAAATTTGAATTCGGTCAAATCCTAGAGACAAACTTGTTCGCCGGCATCGCGTTTTTCTTCTTCAACGTGGCCATGTCGATCATCATGATCAACTTGCTCATGACCATCATCATCAACTCTTTCGAAACCGCCAAACAGATGGCAGAAAATACTGCCAAGGACCACGAAGTTGTGGATTTCATGATCGAAAGGTTTACATTTTATAGAATCCGTTTTGAATGCAATAGCTGTATTTTGAAATTTTTCAGAATGAAAGTCTTCATGGGTATGGCGAATGCTCCTGGAGGTTCGGTTGGACCTACGACGGATTCTTCTAGAGTCAGAGGAACATTGCTTGAACCACAAAACCCAGAGGATATGAAAGAATTTCCGCAAAAGGTCGATCAAATGCTCGATAGAATCAACAACGTGTACTTTGATGGAGCTTTGGACTTGAACAACAAAGCATGGCTAAAAGGAATGCTGAAGAAGGATAGAACTGACTCGTAACTACCAGAAGATAAAATCGGACCCAACCGTAAAGTGGTTGCTCTTTTTTCCCCTCAACAAAAATATTCTGCCGTTTCTCTGTACTTCCTTGTGAAAACCTTTACAGAAGGAGAAATATACAATTTACCTATCTGCAAATGGTTTTCTCACAATTTCCTCGTCGACTATATCTGAACAGCTCCCGACTGATTGTTGAGTGCCCTACCCATGCAACAGACGAGAGTAACCTTCTGTACGACAATGAAGGAATATATGTCTCGTTCAAAATTACTTGAATCAGCTCTATTTCCAAAGTTAAATCAAAACTTCCAGCAATTTGAGATTTCCATGATTTCCATGCATTCTGATCATTTTTGTTCTTAATACTATTAGGACAGATTAAATGATCAAATAATCCCAAAGATTGCCAAGCATTCCTTTCGTTCATATTTTAAACTATATTTATTTCCTAAACCAATTTCGCTGCCACGAACGATGGCAAAATAGTTTTGAAGTATACAATAGAATACCAATGGCTGCTTTAACACAAGCATGAAGCCTATGCTGATATCTTAGAATTTTCTACAGAGATTTTTCAAACCTTTGCCATTGATGCCCATCAATCAGCGAGGGCTTCCATCCGCAATGAAGGTTTAATAGTCGCAATATCAAGTTTAGAAAAAAAACTGAAATCGAAATTTTTGGAAGAGTTTGATTATCCAATGAAGCAATAACATGAGGGGGGGGGGGGTTCTAATTTCTGTAAAAGTAATCCACTCATTGATATAATTTTTCAGCTGATGGCTCTAAATTGTTTATGAAACGCGCTTGGAAATTAAATTAAACCTTTTTAAAGGTCTTCAGCAGCAATTTAACTCATTAACGCGAATAATCGCTAATCTATAGAAAAAATAATCGATGATCAAGAAAAAAAACTCGCTCCATATCAAATATGCGCGTGGGACTTCAATAATAGTTGAAAAAATATTTCCTTTGAAGAATTGCGTTCATGCAGAGAACATTCGAATACTGTAAATTGAATTCAAGCATGCATTCCAATTTTCAATGTAAAACGGTTCTCGACGGGAAAATATAATTCATGGAGAATATTTTCTGCAATTCTCGGAACGCTTCGCTTGATTCGAACCAGGAGTATCTTCAAGATTGAGGAAAAACCAACGTTCCCGCGTGAAGGATATATTCGATTCAACAGCACCTGAATGCGCATCTCATTCATTTGAACTCAATGGAAGGTATAATTCGCAAAAAGTATTCATTCGTGCATCCCGGCCCATGCATTCATAACGAGATGTGCTTGAAGTGCTCGAATCGATTTGGGTGAACCTTAACGAACGTCCACGCCGATTCAATATAGCTTTGGATGTTCCGTATTGGCGGGAATCTAATCTGAAATACTGTATATCAGCTTTGAAAGAAAGAGGATAAACCGGAAGTTATTGGAGTCCTTGCCTCCATGGGCAAATCTTGTGGTCTTCCGGGCCTCTCCAGGAATGGAGTGGTTTGCTCGCGACGACTTCCCGCTGGCTGCTTCGTTTGATACATCGGCTGTCATCCTGCAATCTCGAATTAATCTGATCGGTCGCTTCAAATCTGCGCGCATTTCGCGCTTATAGGGTGAAGACCTAGCATATGTCCTCAGAAATTGAAAGATAATTCAATTTGGCGGCGAAATGCGACGGATTTGAAGCCTCTCCGAGCTCGTTCAAGAAGTCTTCGCAATTCCCCGCGAGTGACGAGCGTCGTTTTGCTCCGTAATCCAAAGGCGGTTCACGGAGCTCAAGTCATTCCCCCACGGGATGCGGACCTGAGCAGACGTGTCCCGCAGGTCCCACTGGCAACCCTGAGCGAAAGCGAAAATTACTCTCGTAGTTTTATAAATAACCGAAAATTCATCTACAATTCGTTTAAAAAAAAGTGCCACGGCAACCAGTCAAGTTTCTTGGTCGTTTCTTTGTGAACCTTTCGGGCCGAGGGAGGTTTCGTTAAAAATTCCGCCCGGTTCAACCGGTTTTTAAACTTCTAACCTCGATGCTGACCTCGTGTTTTGTATTCCGGACATCGCAGTATACAGTATATCCTCCCATCAGGTGATGAAGCAATGTTACCCGAAATGAAATGCATAATAACCAATTAAATGCATCCTAAATGCACTGCGTGAATGCGTGAAAAAAATATTCGTGTTTGAAGTTGAGTGAGGATATTTAATATCGATTTGCTTTACCTTTTGAAGAAGAAGTGATGATTAATGGTAGGTTTTTTATGACCACGAATGAACACGTGTATGTACAATCTATAATGCTGTACGTAAGCATTAATTTGCGGGGTTGATTTTTCCCTTTTCAGCTGTAATGCAAGGTGATTATGCGTGCATTTTTCGTTATTTTCGTGGAAAAGTGAATGTGTTCAGCCCTTTTCTCTCCTTCCCACTGCCTCACATGTGAAACGGTACTTCCCTCTATTTCTACGGAGACTGGCAACAGGTTGCAAAAGGCTTTGACAGCGGGGCAAGAAAAAGAGCGCCGAAAGTTCGATTATCATCAAGGCTTCACTTCTCTCAGCACGCTTTTGCATTGCTGATATTGTGTAAAAACTTTTTTGCGCATATCGGATTTTACGCGTCTTTCAAATTCACGTGAATCGACTACCCTTCAACTTTATGCAAATTATTCCAGTCTCGCGGAGAAGGCGTTGATTCAGAAAATCAAGATCCTCCTTCGAAGCGCGGATAATTTACTTTTTTTCTGACGGGATCCTGCGCTCTTAATCGTCTACACCTGAGCGAAAAATTCCAGTTACCTATGATTTTTTTTCCAGTTGCTAGATCAGCACAGCTTTTTTTGCTGTTGTCGCCGAATGGAAAGTTTCTTCTGAGAGTTTATCCTGGCCCGACGTCTGCGTGTTCCTGATGCTTGTTTCGACCGTCTTTTGAAAGTGTCAGGAACATAAACTTTTCTCGAATGTGCTCACCAGCGTTTAATGCGGTGAATAGAAGGTCGGTCCCTCATCTGGATTCTTGGTGAGTGCATTTCAATGACTGTTTCACATAAAAAATAAAATAGAAATCGCGGGGAATTCGTCAACCATTTTAAGCTGACGCAGATGTTGATAATGCACGCGTGTGCGACAGATCTCTGATCCTCACCGGAAGCTTGCTTGAATGAGCCGAACTTCTCCCGAAAAATGAATCTGGTCTCATTTTATCATTGCCATGCGTGGATTCAAGCATGGGTGTCGGGAAAAGTTACGGAGAGTTCAGGTTCGGACTCACTTAGTCTTTGAAATAATTGCACCTGAAAATGAACAGCGAAGTTCTCTCAACGCAACGAAATTTTACTTTCATCTATAAAAATTGGCGACATTGACAGCATATTTGTTTGTACCATGATACATTCGTATATGAACTCGTCCCCCGTTCTATTTCGTCGATATTTGTTGTAACTCATGAATGTTTTTTAGTACGGTAACTCGAACTTGGACGCGTTACGCGGGTGCTTCTGTTCACGGAAACCCATTCGGACCATATTCTCTGCATATGCAGCGGTGTTTATTTTTTTTTAATTTGCGCATGCATAAATGTAATTTTGGTAGAGCTCTTGACCCGTTAGGAAGGCGATTAGAAATGGGTGTGGCTTATCGTCCGCCGGGCTAAAGAAGTTTCTCGAAAGGAACTTCGCCCGGGCAACTGTCGAGACTTCTATGTTTCCAGATTTCTGGTCCATATGCTTGTATATAATGGCTCACTTATGCGCGTCGTGACCGGGTTGCCAGAAGAAAGAAAAAAAATCGGAAGCTATTAAGTGCATCCTCTTCCTCAAGGTACGAGGCGTTTACTAGTCGAACGACGGCCTCGCTTGAAAATGAAATTGAAAAGAGTCGAACGCCATATTCATGTCGTCGGTCGTCGAGGATCGTGTGGGTCAAATGCTAGCCTCTTTCACCTGGGATTGATGCATAGCGGATGATGCAAATGTGCGAATGACGCGGGACGATAAAAGAAACCCGTCGCAGATTGCAAAGCTCAGGCATCGCGCTTAAGTTTAGAAGTACGATGACGGGATAAAACGGCAGAGTATCTTACACCAGCCTTGGCAATAAAGTCGAACGTGATTTTTTCCCGTGCTATCATTTGGAGGGAGACTGACCTTTCAAAACGGTAAAGTTTCCGTTGCGCGAAAAACCTTCGGCAAAATGCAGACTGAAAGTCAGGGACTATAGTACAACTCTATATTACACTCTTGAAATATTCGTCAGTGCATAAGATGCCGATGATTCTAAAACCCACCCTACTTTGTTTTATCTCCTCAAACTAAACTACCAATTTGTTTGTGAAGATGAATGCGATGTTTCTCGTTCCACAATAAATGCGAAACATTCTTGCGCATATGGCGCAGCCAAGAAATATTCGACTGGTGGGATATCCTATCAAACAGACCAAACATCAAATAGAAGATTATTTTACCCTTATTCCAAGTGAAATTAATTCCGCCAGTAGTAATTTTATTACTGTACTTCCATGTAACTGTAGAAAAACGCTGCTCGCAAAAATATGGAATGCTCTCAGGTTTTTTGTGTAGAATCACTGTGCTTACGCTTCCGAAAATGCTTCAAACACACTTAGCTCTAGATGCTTATTCAATAATCTAATGAGACATTAAATTTGAGTTATTGTAAATTTTTGGATCAATTCTCTCGCATCTGTAGCACTTCTAATACGAATCTAAAATACTTTTACAATATAACGGACTCAAAGCTGCATTTTCGTTTATTTTGAGTCAAAATTGAAAAAAGTCCACTTTTTAAAAACGGGATTTCTTTAAAAATCAGTACAGATGAGCTGAAATTGACCGAATTTATACGGTAATTTCCCAAATCTGCCATGAAAGGACGATTGGTTGTCCAGACTCTATTTCGCTGATGCTACTTGTCAAAAATAGCAATTTACGAGAAATTGGGATCTCAAGAAAAGAGTTTTTCAGCCTAGCTGTTCCACGCGGGCCATCGGTGGTACATAGGTACCAGTACTTGACATGGGTTCAGTATAAATTTGCACAAGAAAAAATGTAACGAATGCTCGATGTAGAACTTCGAGGCATAATAAAGTTAGCACAGGAAGTCAGAAGGACGCCAAGTATTCAACT